GGCTTCGCTCTACTTCTAGACTAATTCAGAAACCTGTTCTTTTCCCTTGTTTACTTAGTTTCTTGGTACATTAGCTCCTTAAGCCTTCATGCCACTAGTGAATTTGTCTGAGTGGGAGGGTGGATAAATGTTGCCACACCTGAGTCAATAAAGAGTGAACCAGTGTGGCCCTCATAGATGGGTGTGGCACTGGTAGTTACTATGACAGCTGGGGATGCCAGAGAGAACTACCGAACGGGGACAGAGGGAAGCAGGAAACATGGGACAGAATTAGGGCGAGCCATCCTGTAGCCTTCCCGTCTCTTCCTAATGGTGTCTTCCTTGACATCTCGGCAGCGGCACACCAGCCACCACCGCTTGTGACGTTCTTCAGAGCCTCCCGGCCACTGCTCTACCTCGACTCTCCTGTCACTCTGACACTCTCTCCTCTTGTTTACTAGTCTTCCACCTTCTTCCAGAGAGAATTTTCCCAAGTGCTACCTTTGGTCCTGTCTTCGCACCCTCTTCCTGTCCCTCTTCACTCTCGGAGAACTCATCCACGCTCGTGGGCTCAAGTGTCAGTTCTATGCAGGTGATTCCCCTCTGTCCCACAGACACCACACTCTCCCCTGACCTCGCTGCTAGACTTGACCTCCAGGTTTCCATTGCCTGCTAGATATTTCCATTTGGGTGTCCTGTCATCATCTCAAACTAAACATGCATGAAATCGAGCCTGTCTTCCCCGCCCAGCTTCCATTTTTCTGCCCATGGCATCAGCATTCTCTCACCCACTTAAGCTCAAAACCTGAGTCATGTTTGACACCTCCCCCTGTGCTTCCCTTCTTCCCTTCCCAAACACAAGTCTTGCCATCTTCCTTTGCAACGTCTCTTAGAGCTCTTTGCCCTTTCTGTTCTGTCTGCTAATCCAGGTCTCAACGCCCATGTGTTGAATATTTGATAGCTTCCCACTTGGTCTTCTTCCCTGCAGTTTCTTCCCTCTCTAGTCTTTCTTTCATACGTGGCCAAATTCTCTAGAATGATTATTTTTATCCTTTCTGTCTGCCACTCAGAAACCTTCAGGGGCTCTCATCACCGTAGATAAGTCCAAACTCCTTTGCCTCAGGCTCAAGACCCGGTGTTTGGTCCCAGCCAACCTCACTGGCATTATCCCACATGATATGAGTGCAGGCTCTGGAGCCAGACCCTGAGATCAAATCCTATTCCCAACACTTAGATGCTCTGTGACTCTGGGCAAGTACTTAACCTCTCTGTGCCTGAATTTCCTCTTTAGAATTGCTTTATAAAAAGTTTTATAATCATGTCTAGGGTTGCTGTGAGGATAAAAGGCACTTAGAACAGTGTTAGATATGTGGTAAGCACTGAAACGCTAGCTTTTTATTGCGCTGATTTTCATAGAGTGAGTCTGCAGTCTGCACGCTTCTCCCCTGGGCACACACGTCCACCTCTCCTTGTTGCCGTTGCTCAGCCCAGTCCCTCAGTCTAGAATGCTCTTCTCTGCCCGCCGGCTCTTACCCTCCGAGGGCCACTGACCTTGCATTTCCTCCCCATAAATGCTTGTTGGGTGCTTTCTGCAGTGCTGCGCAACCCAGCTGGGTGGGGTGGGCGTGTCGGGTATGTGAAGCCAGCCATAGGCCGCACGTGGCACATCTTCCTGGAGAGTTCATTTCCCTTGATAAGTTCATCTGTTTTCATGTTACAGCAACTACTCCAGACATGTCGTGGAGCAGAATGCAAAACTGGCCAAAAGTTTTTAAGCTAAAACACAAAACTACTAAGAACATTCAGAGTGGCAGTGTCTTGGGCCACCCCCCAGCCCCAGTGGGGAGTCTGCACTCATTCCGCAGGGGAAAGGTGTGAGAAGCAGGGACTTGGTGAGCAGAAGGGGCTTGGTGCAGATGAGGTAAGGCAGGGGTAGTGCCAAAGCTGTGGGCGGTGGCTGTCCCTGTGCCCGGGGCCCCCGCAATGAGGGTTCCTTTAGCATGTGGTGCTCTCTCCTTCCTGAGAACTCAGTGTCTCTACCACTCCTAGTTGCCCAAGGGAGCACTTGTATTACATTGTTCTTTAACTTCCCACAAGGGTAGGTCTTATCTCTTCACACCATCCTAGGCACCTGGAGCGCAGGGGCCAGTGGGAGTGCAGGTGCAGGGCGATCAGTGGGAAGACAGACCTGGTGTGAATTCAGGCCCTGATTGAGCGAGTCTTGTCCTCTCAGCCTCGGTTTCCTTATCTGTGAAACATGGATAGTACTTATCTAATGAGATTGTTCTGAGGAGTCAATCAGATAACGTTAAGTGCAACATTCAGCACTGCAGAGGGCACGGATGGCTCTTAGCAAACCTCAGATCCCTCCCAGCAGTTCCAGGCTCTCAGCAAACATCTGATTCTCCAACGTTCCCACCCCCAAATGTATCCCCTACCTGCCTCTACTCCCACATCCTCTGCCTCCCTTCCTGTCACGGTGGATGCTCCTCTCTAAGGCCACCCTCCTCCTCATGTAGTAGCCCTGGCCCTTCTCGCCTTCACAGAGGCCTCACTCATGCCATTGCCCCTCTGTCTCCTGCAGCACCAGTGCTCCTCGCTATTGGGCCACTCTCCTCACAGTGTAATTATGCTGTAATGTCACTCTACCTGAAACAAAACCACAAATAAAAACCCTCCCTTGATCCCACATCCCTTCTGGTTACCGCTCTTTTTCTCTGCTCCCTTTACAGTAAACAGTCCCTGAAAGAACTGGCATGTTCCCTGTGTCCACTTCAACTGCCATTCCCTCTGGTCCCACTCCAGGCACACTCATCCCCACACTCCATGGAAACTGCTCTTATCAAGGTCTCCAGTGACCCGGGCATTGCCAAGTCCATCGTGCTCTTCTCAGGTTTCATTTTACCAGCTTCTCAGAAGCATCTGAGACCTTGAAACACCTTCTGCCCAGGCCTCCCAGACCCTCCCCTCTCCTGACTTTCCTCAAGTCTTACTGGCCACTCCTCAGTCTCCTTTGCTGCATGCCTCTTCTCTTCTCCCTGGCCTCTAAGTGTAGAAGGCCCCCGTGTTGTCCTTGGACCACTTCTTGTCTCTAACTCTACTCCCTCAGGTAATCTCATCCACACTCACGGCTTTAAATGCCATCTAGAAGATGCCCAAATTTATATCTCAAATCCAGAGCTTTCCTCAGAATTCCAGACTTGCATATCCACTGCCTACTCCACATCTCCGCTTGGATATATCACAGGCTTCAAACCCGACATGTCTAAAACTGAGCTCTCCATTCCCCACCCCACCCTACCCTTCCCACAGTCTTTCCCATCTTAGTAATGGGAGCTCTGTCCTTCCAGTTGCTCAAGCTAAAACCTTGGGAGTTATCCTTAGCCTCTTCCTCTCTCTTAAACCCCACAGCCAGCTGATCAGCAAGTCCTGTCAGTTCTCCCTTCAAAGAAAGACTAGAAAGAATCTGGCCACTTCTTACCACGTCCATCTCCCCACCCTGGTCCAAATCACCATCACCTCTCCCGAGACCGACCCCAGTAGCCTCCTGAGTGGTTTTGCTGCCTCTTCTTCCCCCAACCCCACAATCTGGTCTCCACCAACAGTCAGAGTAATGTTTTCAAAACACAAGTTTGATTATGTCATTTATTGGCACCACCAGTGTCTTCCTCTCTCTCAGCATAAAATCCAGATTCCTTATCCTGGCCTACAAGGCCATGTGGGCCTGACCTGCCTCCTCTTTGGACTCATTTCCCGCCACGCTCCCCTCACTCCCTCTGCCCTGGCCGCACTGTCCTCCAGGCTGTTCCTTGACAAGGCTGGAAACACTCCGGCTTGGGGAGTGTGCTTTCTGTCCCTTCTGTCTGGAGCACTCATGGACGTCCAAGTTTCGCTCGCGTGCTTCCTTCAGGCTTCTGCTCAAACGCCGCCGTCAGAGGGCCTTCCCTGAGCAGCTTCTCTAGCACCCTTGGCATTCTCTGCCTCTAACCACCTAGAGGTGTTGCCTACCACTGACCGCCACCTGATGTAACATTTGCGTGTTTGTTTTTGTCCATCTCGTCACCACTAACACCACCCAGGAGGGCCTCCAGAGCCCGGCACACAGCGGCTGCTCGCCAGGCAGGCAGGGGCATGGTATAGATGGGAAGAGCCCTGGTCTCTGTGCCACCGCCTCCCCACTGGTGCTTCTGGGCAACTCTGCACAGCCTTTCCAGGCTTCAGTCTCCCTCTCTGTGAAGTCTGCCTCGCAGGCTTTTTAGGAAGTTTAGAGATAATACATTTAAAGTACTTGAATCATGATCAGTGGTCAATAAAATGGGGGCTAAAAAGGCCGCTTGGCCACTCTCTAGGTCTGTTTTCAAGGAGTTAAGAGTGCTGTCTCTATCTGCCCCAGGATGGAGGGCTGGTCCGTCAAATGAAGGTAACACCATATAAGGAGTATGGATTCCATTCTCCATGTCATATGGTCCCAGGTCCCCTAAGCATTGTTTCTGGCTCCAGCCAGTTCTCCTCCATCCCCAGCACCACCCAGTTCCCTACCAAAGCCCCTCAGATGATGGCCCTCTCTGAGCAGATCCTGCAGGTTGAAACCTTCCCCCAACCCTGCTTTGGATCCACGTGGCCCCCCGTGTGGGAAGCAGAGATACTTGCTGGGAATGTGTAGGTTTGTCTGGGCTTTATGAGCAATGGCCCCATGGATCCTCCTCTGACAAAGGACCCATTTTTGTGAGGTGGGCAACACTGGGCAGACTAGTTTGGTAGGTTTTCCCTGGCTGGTCAGTGAAGGTGACTAAAGAGTCATTTCACTGTGCACCACCAGGGGGTGCCAGAGGTTGCTCAGCTCCTGTGAGGCCTCGACCGTTGGTCTTTTAAAGTCTGTCCTCCCTCTCAGGTCTAGGGTTAGGCAGCGGAAGAGGCACTCGCACCTTGCAGGAAAGTTTGGTGCTGACTCTATCCCATCTAGCAACTTGCTGGGTGCTGCCAGCCCAGGCAGGGCCACATTAAGGGACTGGAGGTCAGGCTTCCAGGCTCAGTGTTCTTTATTCATAAGCATCAGTGAACCCCTTGCCCTGTGAGCTCAGCCAGTTCTGCCCTCAGATTCCCAGTCTCAGGTGGGGAGTGCATCTTTCCCTCTTAGATCAGCCGCCTGAGTCTGGCTCTGCCCAAGGCTGTGCCTTATTTGCCACACCATCCCCAGGACCACAGTGGCTGGCATCGGAAGGGTCATGGCCAAGTCTTTGTCCTCACAGACCACTCTCCATGTAGGAGGTGCTCAGCTTCAGCTGCATCAGCTCTCAGACGTGGCTCTGGGAGCCTGCTGGTCAGATGGAGGGCTGAGCCGTGGACACCTCCAGATTCAGCCTCTTTCATTCCCTGTGAGACTCTTTGCTGCCAAACATTCTCCACAGCAGAGCTGAGCTGAGGGGCAGCAACTGGCTCTCATTTGTGTCCTGAGGTTCTCGGGGAGCGGGCAGGAGGTGTTAGGTGGTGGCTCAAAGGGGATAGAGATGCCAGAGGCTGTGCAAGGGGAGGGTGGGAGGGAGAAACCAGAGAGAGTCAGTTAAGTCCCTTGATCTGATTTCACCAGCCCCAGTTCTTGACTATGGCCTATAGTCCTTAGCCAACTCCTCAGTACTAAATAGACAGTCCTGTGGGCCCTGGGTCCACCCTTCCCTCACCATTTGCTCAGAGCTAAGAATTATTAAAGCAACCTTCTGCCCTCCTGAGGTGGCACTCCTGCCAGGCACCTTGTAGAACATTCTTGCCTGCTCAGCAATGACCCCCAAACCTGCATTCATTTCTCCCTCATGTCAGTGCAGCTCCCACCTGGGGCCAGCAGGCTGATGTGTCTGGAGAGGGCTCTGGCTCCTCTGAAAGCCCTCCCTGGCCAGTCTCTGACCTGCATTGGACGCGGGGATCTCCGGGGTGGGTCTGCAGCACCTGACGCACTTCTGGGGGAGGCTCCAAGCCCATCTGCTTTGCCCGATGCCAACGCTGCAGCCGTGTGATCCCTGCCCGGGTGGAGGGGGGGAGACAAGACACTGGGACCTCATGGGGGGCAGGGAAGAGTCCAGGCTAGAGAATGTGTGTGGAGGGGTGTGTCGGGACCTCCACACCCCCCAGTCTCAGGAGGCAGTGCCTGAGAGGGTCAAGCAGGGGCTTGGGTTGCTTCAGACATGTGGGTGACAGGACTGGCTCCAGGATGCGCTCCTGGGGCCTGAGGGGGTCCTCACCTGTGCAGGGCCCATACTGCCAGGCCAGGTCAAACTGCCTCAGCAGCTCCAGCTCCGCTTCATCCACGCTCACATCCACGCTCAGGGGCTGGGCCTCCTCCCCTGCAATGACACACTGCTCCTCAGGCCTGCCCAGGCCTGTGCCCTGCGGGACTGGTCCCCTGACCCTCGCCTCCCAGCTGTCCCACTGCTCCCCAGCCCTCACCACCCCTCTGCCCCTGCCGTCCGCTGCCAGGCCTGGTGTCGGAAGTAGAAGACATCCTTCACTTCCTCCTCTATTGCCCATGTCCGCCCACGTCCTCTCATGTCCCTCCATGTCCACTCCTCCCGCCCCCCCCACACCTCAGAGACCTAGCTCTGGTGCCAGCTCCCCCTTGCAGTGCGCAGCGGGGCCCTCCCTCCTCTTCACTACAGGGTAGGAGTCAGTGATGAGCCGCTTCCGGCCCATGGCGGCCACCCAGGCAGGCGGAGAAGGAGGCGACTGCGGGGAAGGAGAGAGACAGGCCAGCGGGCACCAGAGAGACAGCTGCTGAGAGAGAGAGTGAGAGAGGGCTGGGGCCGGAGAGCGAGCCTGGGGCCAGCGGAGGGCAGACAGGATGACCCAGACAAGCAGAGAAAGGAAGTCCACCGGTTCCTGGGAATGACGCGTCTCCTCCACCCCCACAAGCACTCAAACATCAAAGACTAAGCCAATGGCAGGCCGCCTCTGTGGGGCGTGGCCTTACTCCAGCCAATGGCAAGCGGCGCAGGCAGAGGGGGCGGAGCAGCTGCTGCAGCTGTGTTCTGGGGGAGGGGTGAGGCTGGGGTGGGGAACCTGTCAAGATGCCCCAGACTGCACCACCTCCTCCTGCCCTCCCCCGCCCCCCATTGGTCTCCAGTGGGTCTCGGGGGACTTACAGAGCGTTATCCTCAAGCTCTCACTTCCCGTTTTCCCTTCCTAGGCAAATGTGCTTTTCAGCCTCACTAATCCCCGTGGCCAGTTTATAACTCCCCAGAGCCCAGCTGGAGCCTTCTACTAACGCCCCTTGGCCAGCAGAGTGTTGTGGGGACAGGTCTGGAGGTCCGAAGAGGGTTTGGGCTAATCCAGCCCCCTTCCCTACTCCCACCCTACCCCCACCGACCCTGAGAGACGTGACTGGAGAACCCATGGGTTCGGAAAGCTCCTTTCTCACAGTCTGTGCCCAAAGACACTGCCCACTCCTAGTCCAGGCAATGTTTGCCTTGTCGGCTCTGCTGGGGTCCCACAGCCTGCCCCTGCCTGCCCTGTTAGTCAGGAGGATCCCACACCAAGCGGGAGGCCAGAGTGTGTTTGGATCCCCAGTTATTCATCAGTAAAATCTGCCCTGTCTGTCTTACACTAATGTGAGATATGAGCAGCAAGTATCAACAGTAAAGCGAACACTCACATGGCACTCACAGTGTGCTGAAGACTGCTCCAGGCGCTTTCCCACATACTCAACTAAAATAGTGTAAAATGGTTCTTGACAGTAGGAAGTGCTGATAGGCACTGTGAGGCCCCAGTTATAAATCACAGCTCCTCCATGCCTCCCAGGAGCTCACAGGCTAACTGGGCAGGCAGACGGAACACACAAGTTGTCAGTGCAAGGATAAAATTCATAACAGGAGATAGGGAAGGGTAGGTCAGAGATGGGTTGGACCACAGGGCTGGCTTAGCACTGGAAGACCTCCTGGAGGAGGCAGGCTGCTGTAAACAGTGTCTCTCAATTCTCCACCCATGACCTTTGTCCCTTGGGCTCCTGTCATCGCTGACTCACCCCTACACCCGCCTCCCCCTCAGCAACTTCCTGGCAGCAGGCGAAAGTGCTGGCCAGTGGGAGTCTGGGAATCAGCAGAGGGACTGGCCCAGCTCTAATGGACCTCTAGAGATCCCATCCAGTTCTTCCTTCCAAGGTGCAAGGGTCTGCTCAGAGACTTCGGCCTTCCCCCTCTCCCACTGCTCTGGGGTCTGGGTGGGCCCGGGGAGGACCATGCTCTGGAGTGTGGACCACCAGAGGGGAGGAGCAGGAGCCGGCCATGTCTTTAGGGGCCTCCTCCCACCTGGCTCTCCCATCTGCTTCCTTGAGGAGGGCTGAGTGGAGGAATGAGAGCTTGTGGGTGTGCTGCACGGAACTGGAGGGCCCGTCCATGCTTTATTGTTTGGGCTGGGCCTGGCCTAATCCCCTCATCTGCCTCGTGGACTAAGTGAGGCCCACACTGAGGGAGACAGGGGCCCCGCTGCACTGGGGAGGGAAGCAGGGAGGCCCTGTCTGCGGGACCTGGCAATGGCTTAGATGCGGGGTCCAGTCGGGCACTGGGCACTCTGGAGGGATGGTGCCCAGTCTCTGCGGAACTGACTACCTCCTCCCCAGAGGGTGTTCCCAGAGGTGTGTGGCGCCCAACTCCTGAGCCCACAATGCCCTGAGGGAGTAGGAAGCCATGGGTGAGGCAGACCCCTCCTCATTCCTGGGCCCTCCCACCCCTGAAAGCTGATAGCCGTGGGGCCCTGCCACCGCCCAGGGAGCGTGAAATAGGGTGTGCCGCTGGGCGGCCACAGCGGCTCCTGCTGCTGCCTGAGCCCATTCCCTCTCCCCTCTGGCACCCTGACCTGCTTTGTGGGCGCTGTCTGGGCCGTCCCTGCCAGCTGCCCCCAGCTCTGCCTGGCTCAGGCCCTGGTAGCCTCTCCCACCCAGCCTGGAAGATGTCTCCCTTGGGCTTTAGCTTCCCCCAGCCCGGAGAAGGAGAATCAGGGTGGCGAGCTCAGTGCAGGCGCCCTGGACTGGCTTTCCGGCCTGGAGTTGAGGGGACTCTCCGCAGGCAGCGTTGCCCTCCTCTCCTGGTCAGACAGCAGTGGATCGAGCCCCAAGGCTCGAAGGAGTTGTCACCAGGGGTTTTGGAACCATCCCTGTCCAATTCACATCCTTCCCTGACTTGGTATCTGGATCCCTCAGGTGTACTGGCAACTGGACCGGACCTTGGCCTGCCCATACTCAGGTCTTTCCCTTCTTTACTCCCCCAACCCTGTTTGTCCCCTATCACCTTCCTTCCCGGGATCCCTGCCCCTTCTCAGGTAGCCTCCTGGCCTATCCCCACAGCTGCTGTCCTGGGGCCTGTCACAGTTGAGGCTTCAGGCTGAAGGGCCAGGCCTGAGGTCTGAGTTGGGGGCTAAGTTCTCTCTCCTTCAGGGAATCTCCTGAGACCCAGGTGTAGGTTCCTGTGTCAGCTCTGACCCCTAGAGGCAGGTGATGGGACTAGCAGGAGTGACCTTTGCACCTTGGCCTGGGAACACTCAAGTCCCTTGCTTCACAGCCAAGGCCAAAGTCTTGGGGGAAGCCAAGAGACAAGGAGAGAAAAGAACTGGAACAGAAGCCCAGCACCTTCCTGAGGGCTGAGGCCCACCGCAGACTGCTCCAAGGGGAAGGGGGATTAGGCCTGGCTTAGCTCAGACAATGTGGCAGGATGGCGGGGTGGGCGTTCTCAGCACTGCGCATGAGCCCTAAGAGCCCCTTCCCCTCCCCCAGCTCATGATGAGGCTTGGGGGAGAGCCAGCTAGAGATAGGAAGGTGGGGGCAGGTGAAGGGAGGGAAGCAGCTGCCAGGGGCCCTGCGGACTATGAGGTGTAGCACGCTCTCCTTCCCCTCCCTAGCACCCCCCTTCCTCAGCCCTCAGGCCTTGCCACCCACCCTGAGCTGGAGATTCTGGGCAGCCAGACTCACATCCCAGCCCCCACATACTCACACACCCTGGGCCCCGTTCCCCACCCCGTGGGCCAGAATTCTTTCAGGCAGCTCCTCCTAGTCCGTCATGACCCTCCCAGACATCCCACCTCTTCCTGCTCCAGGTTCTGTGGCCTAGTGGGCTGAAGGAGCAGGAGCCTGGTGGAAGGCGCAGGTTCCCCTGGGTCTGGGCTCTTCTGCCACTGGGTGTCTCTTCTGCCCGGTCCCAACCACCCCTCCAAACCTCCTCCCATCACCTCCCCTTTCACTTTGACCATCCTGACTGGAGAGAAGTTCTGGGGAAATTCAGCAAGGGGCCCTTCTGGCCATTCTTCACCTTGGCCACCAGGGGTCAGACTTTGTCCAGCTGGTAGGAAGGTCCTAGTTAGTTTCCACCCTATCAGCCAGGCCTTAGAGATCAGGGCAAGTTGGGGAGGGGCTTAGGGGTGACCTCTGAAATAGGGAGGCTGAGGGACCCTGAAAGTTGAGACAAGGAAAGAGCTGGAACTCTGGTTCTTAAAGCTCACAGTTACTCCCTCACGCCCTACCCCCCCCATCCCTACCCCACTGACAAGGGCTTTGTCCACTGCTGGGAAATTGGGGAACCAGGCTGAGTCAGGGAGCTCAAGAATTGAAGGGACAAAGGCAGGGACAGTTGTGGCTCCAGAGAAGAAGGGGGAGCTGAGAGGGAGCCACCTATCAGCGTTCAGCCAGGCCTAGATCACTGGCCCTTGCCCTCTAGGTTAATGGGAACAAGGGCCTCCCTTGGCCCTTCCCTATTTGGGGTGACTGTAGCGAGCGGGTGAGTGTGTGTGTGTGTGTGTGTGTGTGTGAGAGAGAGAGAGAGAGAGAAGGAGAGAGAAAGAGAGAGAGAGAAGGGGGAGAGAGATGAGTGCTTGAATGAGTCTCCTCACATCGAGGGAGCCCTAGGTCCTGGATATTGGGTCAGTCTTCGAAAAAGCAGGAAGCTAGCAAAGCGTGACTACCTTTTGCCACCCCGCATCAGAGCCTCACTCCTGTAAGTTGCCTCTCCCAAGTGACAGTTCTCCATCTTGTGTGCATCCTGTCCAACACAGGGGCGTTCCCTGGCACCCAGGATGACAAGGAGATTTCTTTTTTTCTTGTTTTTTGTGAGGAAAATCAGCCCTGAGCTAACATCCGATGCCAATCCTCCTTTTTTTGCTGAGGAAGATTGGCCCTGGGCTAACATCTGTGCCCACCTTCCTCTACTTTATATGGGACGCCGCCACAGCATGGTTTGACAAGCGGTGCGTTGGTGTGCGCCCGGGGTCCGAACCTGCGAACCCCAGGCCACCAAAGTGGAGCGCGCACACTTAACCGGTGCGCCACCGGGCAGGCCTGACGAGGAGATTTCTAATCTACTCCCTGCTGTCTCGAGATGAGAGGGAAGAGGGCCTTCTCTCCCTCTCTCCCACTTTCCCTAGGCTTCCTGGGAACAGAAGGACTTCTAGAGATAACTCCCTCCCCTCATGACACTGTAGGGCTCAGGTATTCCAGGGTCTTAGGTTGACCTCTGCATACCTGAGCCTCTGACTATAAGGCCATACTTATGAGGTGGAACCTAAGAGAACCAACGAAAACTCACCACCTCTCCTGAAGCAGCTGTGGATGGAGAACCAATGACAAACTCATTCACTGAAAAGCCTGATGACCTGTCATTTATCAGGAGCAGGTACCTGCTCCGTGGTCCACAGCGCCAAATCCAGAGGAGAGACTCACACTCCTGACCCCATCAGTAGGGAGCTATTTGGTGGAGAGTTCAGGGACTCAGACTCTGAAACGCCCTTTCTGACTGGGCTGCCCTCTGCGTCCATGTCCCTGCACCCCTCCCCCCTCGCTCCTTAGGATGCGCTCTGCATCCTCACAGGGAGTGAACTCCAGCACTCCCCCACACGTTCCCTCTGCTCCGCACCCTGTGGGGCTCACAGCCACTCCACAGTGCAATTTCCAGTCCTCCAGAGGCTCTTGCCGCTTGATTCTCTGCCTTTCCTCCCTCATCAGTCCTCAGCCTTGGGAAAGGCCCTCTCTTTGCTCTCTCCCCACCTCTGGCCATCTCTGGCTTGTTAGAGAATGTCACAATCCATGCTGAATGGGTCCACGACAGAGATGTGTGTGCTTATGTCCCCTGGTTCCACGTGGCTGCCCAGCAACGATCTTGGCTCTCCTCTGCTTGTCCCTGACTCCATTCCCCAAGTCTGTCTCTTCTTCTCCAGCCGCCACCCCTCACGCAGCAATGACATGTTTGATCTCTTCTGTTTAAAAACAGCAACAGCAAACCAACCAACCAAAAAAAACCTTTCCGTGATCCTGTTACCTCTGCATATTCCCTCTGCCACCAAACTCCTGAGGGAGTATATTTACCCCTTCTACCTCCTTCTCATCATTTCCTTCTTGAATCCCACAATTTGGTGTCTGCCTCTCCAAAGCTCGCGCAAAGGTCACCTGTGACTTCCTGATTACCAAAGCCAGTGGATTTTCCCCGTATTATTCTCTCAGTTCTTCGGGGGTATCTGACACTGTTGATCAGCTGCCTCTTTAAAACTCGGTTCTCTTGATTTCTAATACACTATTGTCTTGACACTCTTTTTTTTTTTTTTTGAGGAAGATCAGCCCTGTGCTAACATCTACCAATCCTCCTCTCTTTTTGCTGAGGAAGACTGGCCCTGTGCTAACATCTGTGCCCATCTTCCTCCACTTTATATGGGATGCCACCACAGCATGGCTTGACAAGCAGTGCATCGGTGCACGCCCGGGATCCGAACCCGCGAACCCCGGGCCGCCGCAGCGGAGCGCACGCACTTAACTGCTTGCGCCACCGGCTGGCCCCTGTTGACACTCTTTAAGTCAGATTAAGTCAAATTATCGAGAACTTTAGTCTGTGCCCGGCATTGTGCTAAAATGCTGTAGAGATGCAAAGATGAATAAATTGTGGAGCCTGCCCTCAAGATGCTACCTGCTTAAAAGAGAGAAAGACACGCTTAACTAATCCTTGTCCTGCCCATCCTCTAAGATAGGTGTCAAATCCCACCTCTCCTGTTTATGCGAAAGCACCTACTGTGTGCTAGGCCCTGGAAATACAGCGGTGACTTCAGACACCATTGCCTCCTGTAGGGCTCACAGACTAGCAGGGCCCTCCCCCAACTGGATGCCATCACTCCTTCCTCGACTTCCATGGCATTTTGCTTCGGTCTTTCCGCATTCTGCCCTGGATTCTAGCATTTGGGGGGAGGGGAGCTCCTAGTCCCTTTCCAGATTGTTTTATTCAACACACTAATTGAACACCTCCTTTGGGCATGAATTGTTTTATTCAACACACTAATTGAACACCTCCTTTGGGCATGAAGCCTGAGCTGGATGCTGGAATTGAGAGATGGGGAAGACTCAGAATCTGCCCCCAAGAAGCTCACAGTACAGTAGTGTGGGACATACCTTCCTTCTCTGTGTTCCATATCGCCCTTTGCTTGGTGCCTTACATTACAAGCTGTTACTCATTTTGCCCATGGGGACAGCCCCGATGCCCCCTCCTTTCTATCTTGTTAGGCAGGAGGCAGGGCCTGAGATGTCCCTGGCCATGCCAGGGCAGATGTCTCTGCCTGAAGAGCCTGGACCCCTCAGGGTGGGCACATTTCCTCCAACTTGGGCCAGGTGACTCAGGGACATTCAGCAGAGCCTGGCTCGCCCTGCCCACAAGCCAATCCAATAGCTCCTGTAGCCGTCCTCCGACCTTTCCCTTTCCCACAGCTCATGCGCTGTTAGAAGCTCCCAGTGCTTATGGCACATGTCTGCTTTTGTCCTGATTGTTTCATGTATGTTGGTCTTCTCTTCCTGGATGGATCCACAGGCTCGGTAAGCGCAGGAGCCAAGGTAGGTCTTGGACTTCTCTTGGCTTTCCTACTCCAGTTAGCACAGTGATGAGCAGGTAATTAGGTCTTTAAAACACTTGTCAACTGATTGACATCACCATCATTTGTTACTTCCTTCGCTTACGGCACTGTGTCAGGAGGCCCTTGTGAAATATCCATGTATTACCTGGGAGCAATTAGCCCATTAATTTACCCAGTGGCTCTTCACTAGAGCGTCATGACATGCAGACTATGTCCCAAGTAACCTGTAATTAGCAATAGACTGATATGTCCCAAGTAACCTGTAATTAGCAATCGCTGCTGCTGCAGCCAACCGTCTTACCTTTATTATTTCTCTTATCCTTTCCAACAATCTTATAAGGTATTTAATTATCTCCATTTTACAGGCAGGGAAACTGGAGAATAGAGAGCTTTAAGTCATTTGTCCAAGGTCACTCAGCTAGTAGGTTATGAACCTGGGATTTGAACTTAGGTCATCCGTTGAATAGCATCTATCCCATTCGCTTGTAGTCCAATAGGAATTGTTCTCTTGCACCCTAATCTCCCGTCTTACATTGGAGATAAAGGAGTACCATCACAGCTGAGACTTGTGACTTGGCCACAGTCTATCGCCCTCCCTAGGAGATGAAGAGTATTGAGAAGGCAAGGGTCATTGCTGGGGGCCCCAGTGGGCCACCAGAGGTGGAGGTCCTGGGGAAGCTGAGGGCTGAATGTGTGGGGCTGACTGCTTGGAGAGAGCGCTGGAGGGCCAGATAGACAGCTTTGCAGGGAGACAGACCTATAAGACCATTAAAGCAATCCAGACAGGTGAGGCGGACTGAGCAAAGGCACAGACAAGAAGATATTTGGGAGGACTAAAGGAACCTGGCATTGGTGGAGGGAGCAGGAGAGAAGTCTGCTGTGTGCACGTCTTCTTGGTGGACTGAGGGGAGAGAGCCTCTTCCCCAAGCTCTTTGCCTCTCCTGAGCTAACCCTTGGGCTTCCAGGCTCTCCACCAGCAGTGAAGGAAGCCAGGGAGGTGAAGGGCCATGAGGACAAGTGATGAGAGTCAGGAAGAGGGGCAAGGCCAAGCAAAGAGATGCAGTTCTGGGGCAAGCATTTTATTTGTTAATACAAGAATAGAAATTCTGCAATAAATATCATCTAATAAATAACATCTCCAAATAAATAAATATTAATACAACAAACTTAGAGTCATGAGTGGGTGGGGCTGGGGGGCAGGGCCTGGGGGAGCTGCCCCGTGCACCCCAAAATGCTACTGCAATGTAAACTTTCAGGAAATCCTGTGGCTGTGGCTATGGTTGCCCTCCCCAGCCTGGGCAACCCACAGATACCCTGGGAAGGGGGCAAAGAGGAGGCACCATGATGCCGGCACTAAATTCGAGGCAAGCTTCTTTGGGTTGCCGCCCTGGGCCGATTGCCTTGGTGACCCCTGGTTCCAGTCTGTCCCTGCGCCTCTGCTGTCAGTATTACCTCCAATGCAGACCCCACCTCTTCCATTTTCAATCCAATCCCCTCCTGTTTGGACTTGCCACCATGTTTGTTTCCTGAATTGGATGTATTGCGTTATTTGGGGGTAGGGGAGCAACACCCATCTACAGAGAGTGGGGCAGCCAAAGGGCTTCACCCCAGAAAGACATGTGCTGTGGTGGCCCCCCTCCCTGCTTGCTTCCTAGAAGTGCCACTTGAGGGGCTAGGTGGGCACTGGCAAGTGGTGGACAGGAAGCAGGAAGCCATGAGAGCCTTTGCACCAACTTGAACCACTTCGGGCTCCCTTGAGCATTACTTCCTGTGGAAATGGGATGGGGCCTATTGCACCTCTTCCCCTGACCTGTAGGACTTTGGGAAGCAGGGAGGGGACAGGCCTTATTGCATCACACCCTCCTCCAAGTCCTGGAAGGGCCAGAGGCTCATGGCTTCTGTCTCCTGGCTCAACAAGTGTTGGCATACAGGTTTCTCCCTCCCAGAGTGGGAGCAGGGCTTGAACGGGGAGGGGAAAGAGAAGGTGGTCAAGGTCAGAGATCAGAAGCCATGGGCCTCCAGGTGCAGGGTGACCGCAGCTGCTGGCGGCTGCATCTTCTTCTTGAGCCGGTTGAAGTCCTTAGCTGAGCGCCACAGCCAGGTCTGCAGCTCCTTCAGCAGCCAGAAGTCGTCCATCTTCTGGAGGAAGTCGCTGTGGGCAGGGTCAGGAGACCAGGTGGGCTCAGTCCCAGGCAGAGGCTGCGGCAGTGGGTAGCCCAGAGCTGCCATGACACCCGCAATGCTGCCCAGCAGGCCCTGGAGGCTGGTGCAGAAGTGTGCCAGGCTGCGGCGCAGCTCGGCCGTGGCGGCCTGGCGGTTGAGGCCACGCAAGTAGCACAGAAGGTGGCTGTAGGCCTCGTAGTTCTGGGTCAGCCGAAGTTTGTCATTGAGGCTTCGCCACACTTCCAAGTTGACAGTGGCCCTGGGCAGAGTCTCTGCCCCCAGACGAGGTGGGTTGAAATCAGGCTCGTTGAAAGGGGGGCCCAGGTAGTTAAGCTGTGAAAAGGAGAGGGCGATGGGGAAGGAGGAGGGCGGAGCAGCCAGCTCACTGCCAGGAGATACCTGCCCCCAAAGCTTCTATTTCCTATGTCCCCTGACACTGGCCCCATCTCCACGCTAGGCCTCTCTGTTCACAGGCCTCCCCTAAGTTTCTCCAGGGATGTCATTTGCATGGAGGTGACAGTTGCAGCAATGAGGTGACGAGCTCTCCTATGGAGAGGTGTAGAAAGAGAAAAACACTCGGGAGATACTCAGGAAGGATGCGCTGATTGGCTGTGTGTGCAAGCCTTGGGAGAGTGCCCACTGGGGGCCGGGCAGAGAGGAAGAGGAGCCATGAGGACCCAGGAGGCCAGGCTGCAGAGGTAGAAGGTGGACGAGAAGAATGCAGAGCCAAGAAGAGGAGTTCAAGAAGGCAGCAGTGCTCAACAGCGCGGCTGTAAAACAGAGAGCAGGGAGAATGAGCCTGAGAAAGTACCGCAGGGCTTGGCAAGAAGAGGTGCCTGACGACCTTGGAGAGAACTGATTCAGTGGCCTGGGAGCCAGACTGCAGGGGGTTAAGGAGTGAGTGGGTGGAGAGGAAGTGGAGGCAGAGGGTGTAGACCACTCCTTCGAGAAATTTGGCAGGGAAAGCCAGGAGAGAAAAAGGGTCGGGAGCTAGAGGGGGTAGCAGAGTCAAGCAAAGGTTTTCTGGACGGGAAAACCAGAGAGGGAAAAGGGGTGGAAAGGCAGAGGGCCAGTGGGCATCAGAGCTCCATTTCCCTCTTGAAGCTGAAGGGTGGGGTCAGAAGGTACTCACTAACCCCCCAAGGAAGGGCTCGTAGGAGCAGGGCTGCAGAATGAAGAAACTGAGGCAGTCTCAAGAGTTGGGCAGGAGGAAGGGTATGGAAGACAGTCTAGGGAAGAGGACAGAGTCTTGCCAACCCTCCGGGGAGAGGCCTGGGGCCCAGGGAAAGGGCTGAGGGAGACGTTTCAGGCGTTTCAGGCGGGAGGGAAAGGGAGAAGATAGGGGCGAGGCCTGGGATAGGCAAGGGCCCAGGGGGAGGTTCACACGCTGACAAGCACAGAGACAAACTAATTTCCTCGGTGTATCCTGGGGCTGGAGCCAGCTCCCCCGCCACCCTCCTCCCCTCTCTTTCCCTGGCTCCAGAGTAGGGTCTGGGATGTGGAAGAGGAACACGGGAAGAGGGGGCCGGTTCCCCATGGTCCTCGACAACTCTGACCCTCCTTCCTTCTCTCTCGGGCTCTCTGAACACCTCTGGACGGCCCCCAACTCCTTATGGCCTAACTTCCATCCACACCCTGAACCCCCTGCCACTACTGGCCTGGGTTCCCTGCAGCCCCCATCCCCCAAGTCCCCCCTAGGAGGCCCAGCTAGGATGGGAGAGGCAGACAGAAGGGAGGCCCAAGGGTCCAGAGCAGCAGGGCCCCAGGTCTGGGGCAGAGGCGAGCTGGAACACAGGCATGGGAGGTGGGGCCCCTCCATCCCCACCCAGCCCCGCCCGTGCAAGAGACACCACAACACGGTGTAAACAGAGGAGACTTCCCCGGCCCCCAGGGGGAGGCGGGCGGCTGGGCCCACAGCCAGTGGGGCGATGGGCCAAGGCGGGTGCGAGGCCTGCCCACATGCCTAGTCCTGGGGCCAGGGATGGGGAGGAGGGGTGTACCTAAGAGGGAAGGGCAGGAGATAGGCCAGACCCAGAGCCTGCTTGGAGCAAAACGGCCCTTCCTCATCACCCCATCATTCACCACGACTCCTCCACCATTCTGTCTCTCTTCCCCCAACTCCCAGACCCCTAAGCTGCCCTGGATACTCACGTAGGTCCCAGCCAAGCTGCGGAGTTGGTGCTCCAGGTAGCGGGTGAGGTCATAGGTTTTCTGGATGGAGGGGCCAGGCCCTGGGTCCCCTGTGCGATTGAGGGCTGGCACTGCAGGGAGGTGCCAGAGCACGGTGCACAGGCACGCTAGCATCCCCCACGAGTCCCCTGTGGACAGGATGGGCAAGAAGCATGAGGGCGGCCCGTTGAGGAAGCAGCTGGCAGCCCCTCAGGTGTCTGTCCCCACCTTGGGCTGGGACGGGGAGTGAGGGTGGGACACCAGATGGGAGGCAGTGGGGATGGAGGCGGGAAGTATTCCTGGCCTGAGAAAGTATGTGTGTGAGTGGAGGCATGTATGTGTTTGAGGATGAGGACTTGGCCTGTGTGAGTGTGTGTCTACCAGTAGACACTGGAGAGTATATTTGTGTGTCAGCTAAGAAAGAGTCACTGTATGTGTGCCAACACGTATGTGTGTGTGCACAGTGGGACGGGGCCAGGCCTAGGGACTGCAAATCAGCATTCCCAGGGTCCAGGTGTACCTCAGCCTCCTCTCCCAGCTTCCCAGTCCCACTGCAGTTTGGGGGGGCGGGGCAAGGGGTAGGAAACAGCACATGTCAGAGCTGCCAGCTGAGAGCAGTCAGCCCGGGGAGGGGCGCAAGAGACAGGCTGCCCTAGAACGAGTCTGAGTCGAGCCATAGGAGGCAAGGTGTAGGGTTAGACCCCTGAGGTCAGGCTGAAGGACACAGGGCTGGCTTGTGTAGTCAGTGATGGGATATGATTCCTGGGTGCGGAAAGTGTAGGATGGGGTTAGATTGAAGATTTAGCATTCACTCCAAGGATTGGCTGCGGCATGGAGGTTTGCCCCATTCTTATCTAGGGTGTTGGATGGGGAAAAGTTTGACCTGAAGGAGGCCTTTTGATCAGCCTGCAATGGAGAGAGAGAGAGAGAATTTGATGAGTTGGGCTTGTCAGCTGATGGTGCTGGAGAGGTTGGTATCCCGGGATGCCAGAGGCCAGGGGTCATGCTGTGAGGACGGACATAAGCAGTTAGAAAACGATTTTCCAGGCTTTTAGGTGAGGTCCAAAGTCAAGAGCATTAGGCCAGGATTCAGTGGGCTTCGGGACTGGGTACAGGCAGTTAGGGTTAGGAAAGGCTAAGGCTGTACTTGGCACTGAGCTAGGTTAGGTTTAAGGGCTGGGTTACTTTTGAAGTTTCAGGTTAGTTTATTGGGATCTGGCTGACTGAGTGTGGTTGAAGTTTGAGTCCAGCTGGAGGATGTGGTTAGGTTGGGCAGGCAGAGGGCTTGCTGGGGCTAAGCTTTGTGACTTTGTTGATTTAGATGTCAGATGGGGTGATGGATGGCGTGTCACTAAGAGTACGGCTAGTTTGGGTTTTAAGCTTGGATAGGTGTGAGATCATGAGTGGTTTCTTTCTTCTAGGTTATATTTTATACTTTCAAATTTTCTACAGTGACATTGCTTTCATGGTTAGAAATTAGTTGGATATGGGTTTAACAATTTGTACTTTGAGTTAGGATAGGTTTGGAGTTAAGAAACAATTAAGACAAAAAAAAAAAAAGGGCCAGCCCAGTGGCGCAGCGGTTAAGTGCACACGCTCCGCTTCGGCCGCCCATTCGGGGTTCGCAGGTTCAGATCCTGGGCGCGCACCGACGCACCATATAAGGTAGAGGAAGATGGGCATGGATGTTAGCCCAGGGCCAAGCTTCCTCAGCAAAAAAAAAAAGAGGAGGATTGCCATCGGATGTTAGCTCAGGGCTGATCTTCCTCATGAATAGAAAAAAAAGAACAGAGTGAAGATGTCAGGTGGGGACTTTTGCTGTGGCCCAACTGGTCAGTCTTGTCTCTTCCAGATGCTTGACTGGCTGGCTTTACTGATGGAGCGTGGGAGTAGGGGTGCCACTAGTCTCAGGGACCCTGCCCTTGTGGTTTAGGGTTCTTGGTTTGAGGGTGTGTGTGTGTGCGTGCGTGTGCCCCGCACGCATGTGTGTTTTAGGACAGAGAGCAGGGTCAGGCACATAACTGCCCCCTCAGGAGACAGGCTCCCCTCTTCTCTTCCCCATCTGCAGCCTGTGGCTTCCCTCCTGAATGCTCCACTCCTCATTCTTCCTTTCCATCCCTAGCTCTTGCTGACTCTCTGAGTTCCTTCTATTCGCTGTTCTTCACATCCCAAAACAACTCCAAGCCGTTCTCCTCTGCACAAAGCCTTGGGCTACCCTCGGCCTGGACATCTGGCTGAGTCACCTTCAGGATCCTATGGGTACAATGTGGGGTTAGTTTTGGAGTCTGGAGACCTGCTGAGGTGGGCAACAGCCCTTCTGGCTTTGAGGTAGCCTTCAGGACAAGTCTGGCCTCGCTCACAGTTAGTGGCAATGCCGAGGGTCCCAGCCGAAGCAGGAACTGGGAGCTGGGCTCGCCTCTTACCCGCCCTGCTTTGGGCAGCGCTGCTGGCCAGAGTTCTGGGACTGGGCTCTGCCCATCCCATGGGGGAGCTGGTCAGGAACCCAGCGCCAGGCCTCGTTCTCCCCCTCCCCTTCTGGGCCCTGTGGGACAGCCCCCTGGAGGACTGGGCTCCCTACACAGGGACAGCAGGGGGAGAAGCCTTCAGATAAACAAGAGCTAAATCATCTGGGCAGAAAAACGGCTCATGAAATTAACCAGACGAGGCCGGTGTTTCCAGGAATATTTCAGTTCTGAGGTAACTGTGTCACTGCAGGCTGGGGAGGGGGGGCAGGGGAGAAAGCAGAAGGATCCGACTGACCTGCCCATGGAGAGAACCAGAAAGAGGGAAGATGTCTCAGAAATCCAGAGGGAGAAAGGCTAGGAGAGGAGAAAGGGGACAGGGCTCTACCCTCTATTACGACAGCTTCCGCTCTGGACAAGATGTCCCCATATCTCAGGCAGCAAAACTGAAGGCCGTGTGGGGCAGAGAACACCTGTGGTTTAGTTGCAAGCACTGGAGCTCGGCGCAGCTTGCAGCTTGGCCTGTGTCCCTAGGAGGGAGTGCGGTGGGCATCCTGGAGCCCTCATCCATCCTCCTCTCCAGGCTCATGGTGTGCAGGTGGACCCGGCCACTGGGGGCTGTGTCCTGGGCCCCCTCCCCCAGTCCTGGCCCCCCGCCCAGCCCCCCGCCCCAGCTCTGCCTCTGGCTGCTGCCCACTGATTGTTTACATCCCGTCTTCCCCTGTGTTTATAAATCCGGCTGAGCACGTGAGGAGCTAATGAGTGCAGCTCACGTTTCCTGCTGCACCCCCACCCCCCATCCTGGCCCCCGCCCGGCGGGCCAGCCCCTAATTCCATCCAGATCCCTGGGCCCTGGGAACCGAGGCCCCCCTGATGAACACACACACATCCTCAGCCCACGCAAGCGCATGGCCACCCTGACACGGCTGCACAGGCAGGCATACCTTTGTATGCATGTCTTTAGCCAGCTGCCCCTCAGCCCCGGGCCTGTACCCCGCAAGCTGACCTCACTCAGTGAGGGTGGGGGGCTCAGCCGTGTGATGTGCCAGGGTGGTCAGGGTGCGTAGGACAAGTCAGCCAGAAGACTCTGCACCTGGGATTGGTGGCTAAGAGCTATCAGCTGAAAACATAGGAGCCAGGGAGGAATTGCAGAGCTCTAGGGGTGTTGGGCTAAATGTGGGAGCCAGAAGGAAAGGCCCTGCTCTCAGGCCAAACCAGGACCAGCATCCTGGTGACCCTGGAGGGTCTGTTGAGGGAAACTGGGGGAATGAAGCGGTTTAGGGGGTGGTGTATCCACTGTGGTGTGAGACCCAGGCATTGAGAGACTGTAGGAAATGGCCCTTGGGGGTGCCCCCCCCACCTGCCTTCCCAGGGAAAAGCCCACAGAAACAGCCTGTCTTTCCTTGTCCTCTGGGCTGGCTGCCCTCCTCTCTCCTCCTCCTCTCCCTTCTGTCCTCTCCCTGGTTCCCGATCCCCCAGTCCGCTGAGAAGTGGCTTAGTGAGTGCGTAGGCATGGGCCCAGAAGTCAGGAGACGTAGCTTTGCCACCAACCCATCAGGCGACTGGGTTGCATGAGGGGGTTGCACTGTGCACACTCAAGTTCCTCTCAGCCAAACCACGTGGGGCTCCATCTCTGCTGTCCTCTTCAGCAGCCCCCTCCCTGCCCTTCTCTTCCAGTCTAAATGACAGAAGAATCTGAGGCCCAGGGAAAGAAGCAGACAGGCGGGCCAGCCGCCCTGCCTTGTGAACTCAATAGGGACACAGGAGTTGGGCTTTGGTTGGAGTGAGAGTGTTCCAGATCATGCCACAGGATGACCCTGGGTGTGCTCAAGGAGAGTAGGGTGAAGCGGGGGACAGCTGGGCAGCCAGCAGAAAGCCAGGCAGGGGGGACCTTCCTTCACAGGGGGACCAAGTGAAGGAAAAACAGTCCGACAAGCGTGTGGGTGAGTTTGAAAGGGTGTTGTTATCCAGAGGTGTGGGAGGGGCTCTGAGGGAGCAGGAGCCAGGGTGTGAATAGGCAGGTGGGATTGTGGGGAGGAATGTGAAGTGTCACTAATTAGTAGCTGGTGTGGAGGGGTGGTGTGCAGAAGTGTGAACAGGGCAGAAGTGTGGGGCTCTGTGAGGCGGGAAGGGGGAGCCATTACACCAGTCAGGAGGAGACTTCTGGATTGCTGGGTGACAGTTGTTGCCATCTCTGCCTGGTGCCTGTTTCCTCCCTGGTTGAGTGCGTGGCTCCAGGCAGTGAGGGAGTCTGAGCCAGTGGGGGGAGCGGGTCTGGTCTGGCAGAGGAATGTGTCCCTGTTTCCCCCGGGAGGGGCACTGTGTGCTCAGGAGCAGGGCGGGGGTCTGTCGGGGGCAGTGAAAGCAGGGAGATGTCAGGCGTCTGGGTCAGGGTCAGAGCGCACCTGACAGAGGAGTGTGTCCAGTGCCCCCCAACTCACAGCCCCTCTCCGAGGCTCGGACTGCGCCTGCCATGCCAGACCTCCCGCCTCCGTCCCCTCCTGGCAGCCCCCTCCTACCCCAGGGGGGAGGCCAGGCTGGACGCAGAAGGAAACAGGGACTGGTCCACTGGGAGAGGGGTGTGTGGGGAGGGCTTCTGGAGCACAGTGTGGAGTTGCTGCGAAGGAAGGCGGGGAGAGCAGACATGAGGGGACTCAGGCGAGGCCCGGGGGACTTGGGGTTTCCCTCGAGCGCCCGGCTGGGGAACTGTGCGGCGGCGGCCGCTCGCCGGCCGTCCCCGCTCGGCGGTGACCTCTCGCGCCCGGTCCCCTCCCGTGGCGGCGGCGCCTTCCCCCTGTGTGGCCCCGGCGC